GGCAAGCAACAAAGAACTTTGTCAGCATGCTGCAGTGCGGATACAGGACGGATGGTAAACACGAGTAGTTGCCAACAGCCTCCTCATATTTCTCGTCCTTAACCATGTGCCAACAGCATAGGACGAGGAACAAGCCCTATACTATCATGCCCTTTTCACACTCAAGGGTCAACACTATCTGTAACCTCACCCAATACCTGCACGTCACTGTCACCACTGATATGGTCCACACAGCTCCTTGCCCCTTACACCTGACATACACATCACATGAACATCAGCAAGTGGACCTCCCCGCCACCGGAACAGCAATGACTGACACTATCATCTGAGATGCCAGAGGAATGACAGGCAGAACATTTCAACCTGAAAAGGAACTACATTTTCTCCACCCAAATCCAGGCTACTGCAACACACCGTGACAGAGGGCCACTGCATATGGTGAGGGTTTTTCCCCAGTCAAGGATAGAGTTGGGGTGAGGGCTCTTCCATCGTGAAGAACAGACTTAACACTCTCAGACAGAGATAAGAAACTGCAGGCCTCACATGGGGGCGGAAAGGGAAAGCGGCATGATGCCCAGTTTAGAAGTCAGTGAAGAGTCAGAGCAAAATATTTTCAGAATATTGATCCAGGTTTTCTATAGGTGCAGCTGAATTTCTCAAAATGTTTGAGTACAAAACAAAGAAAGAGAAAAAAAGGAGCAGTGGGCATGTGCGGAGAAAAAGGGTCATTGCAAGCAGCTACCAGCCAACAATCACTCCACATTCATTATCCCCTCCAGCTGGTTCTCAGGTTAAGCGAGCAGCCTACCTTCAGAGGGCAAACTCTGCATTAGGGCAAGTTGCCACAGGAACATCAAAACCACAGGAAGCTACTTCTTTTCAAAAGATAAAATAAAGTGGCACGCAGGCACATCCACAAGTGCGTTTGACATTAATTTTTGCTTAAGAATGGAAACAAATTGCCATAAGGTCCAAGAGAAAGAGCTCAATCTGGGAATATGAAATGCCAGCCAATCATAAGAAATATCCCTTCACCAGCCTTCAATCAAGAGCATCCAATTCACCACAGTTTCCAGCTACTTAACAGCAGTGCTTCTCCTGCCTGCCCCAATACTAGAACAACAGACTCAGGAGACTTAGGAAAAGGTCAACACTCCAGTGTCCGATGACACGTGCTGGTCAAGTTGTTCTGTTGCATGGAGCTAAACAACATCTTTTTTTTAAAAAAGTCACAAAAACAACTAAGTCTTTTTTTTTTATAAAAGGTTTGCTTTTTTTCTTTTTTAACACTTGCCATTTAGTTTACACATTTGCATTAAGGATATGGAGACGAGAAGATGCAGCAGCACATTATCACAAAACAAACCCAACAGTTCATAGTTCACCAGGGCATTGCCACAGAATGACAGTACAGACTTGCTTCATTACAGTATCAGGGTTACAGGCTTTCAGACCGGCCTCTCCTGTCCACTTCCGGCCTCGAGGGGAGCAGAGGGCTGAATGTCTCTCCACATTGTGACCCATTGGAAATGGTAGTGAAGCCTTGATCTACACACATTACGACTTATTATGTTCTATTCAGAGCTCACTAGACTATTACAGCTCACCTCCATGCAGTCTGGTTTTACACAGTGACTCTCTTGGATGACTGCTAGGCTATCTATGTGACAATACAAAGCTTGGTACGCTTTCTAGTTTTAATGTGTTAAAAAAATTTGTTTTCCTTTTAATTTTAAAAACATCTACTCAAACCACAGCACAAGCATCAGACTTGCAACGTCCCAAATTTAGATGTGGACAAGACTGCTTGAATCTAGCTGATTGTTAATCTTGTGGAATTCTTCACTAAGCTTGCCTATATTTAATTTTTTTCCTAAAATTCCCACACTTTACCCCCTCCCAAGTTGTTCAACTGAGAGATCTGACCCTCGAGAACTTTGGAATGTCCATGTGTAGTGGAAGATTCTCTTCAGACAGAAGGTGTGCAAGATCCCTCCGCTAATTAATCCAGTTTGCTCTGGTTTAGAGGCTCTATTCCCCCCTATATTTTCAGAGAAAGGGAGCTTGTTTTTGTCCCACCAGCTCCACCCTAACCCCCCAGTGACAGGGCAGTGCAACTCCAAGATGTGGATGATTTCCCAGTAGCCCTCCCAGCAACAGAAACCTGAAAGAGAGACAGACAGACAGAGACTTTAGTATTAATCCTGAGTATCTAACGAACCAATAAATAACATTAAAATAATCACATCGACCCCATGCAATCAACAAATCAGTCTTAAACTGCCACAGTTAGGCTGCTGGTTGTTCCTCCCCACTCCCCAGTGGCTGGAAGCTGTGCCTTGAAAACAGATCACAGCCAGGCACAGGGATTCCTTTCAGCACTGAGGTAAAAATGAAAAGGATGGGGAAAAACAACAATCTCCCCAACCCTCTGCCTACTTTGCACCTCTATTTTTTTTTTTTTAAAAGAAAGAAAGGAAAACAAAGGTTCTCCAGCCAAATACAAGGGCAAAGGAATCAGACAGCAGGAGCTTGGTTAGAGAGATGCTACATGTTGGGAAGGGGATTGATCAGTAATGTCTATCCTAACCGATGCGTTATGATCACAGAATGCCCACCTGACGTGGTATCCCTTAATCTCAGCTATACGCCATAGAATGCAGACAGCCTGTCCTTCAGAAGTGGTGGGAACTGCTCAGAAAACTGCTGCCAGTTCTCCTCACCAACCTGCTCCTTGAAGCCATGTAGGATCTGTAAGACACAGACAGAGTACATGGTTAGAAAGTAGCGAATAGAAAGCTCAGCATGGGTGACATGCCTTCTGGGTGGCAATACAAGCACCATCGATAGATAGCCTGTTTCCTAGATTAAAGGTGGAGTAAGTGAATTATCCAGGTAAACAGTCAGCCACCACAGCAGGGTCGATAGAGTGGAGCTGGAGGAACGCAACAAGTCAGGCGGCATCAGAGGAATAGGAGAGTCGATGTTTCGGATGAAGGGTGTCGGCCCAAAACATTGACTCTCCTACTCCGCTGATGCTGCCTGACCTGTTGCGTTCCTCCAGCTCCACTCTGTATTGACTCTTGACTCCAGCACGTGCAGTTCTTGCTATCCACAGCAGGGTTCCTGGTTCAATGCTAAGTCTGCTCTATGTGAGCTGCATTAGCCAGGGCAGTGGGAGGTGGCAGGTTCCTACTGCACCTGCGCCAGACAACAAGCCATTCATCCACATTGGAAGATTCAGCTGCTAGGATCTACACAACAGCTTGAATTAGTATACCTCTGCTGCAGTAAAAGCATCTGGTGCATATCAATGGAATTAAAATGGAGCCAATGACTCAATTAGTAGTGGCTAGGCGGAGGTGGAGGCAGAGATCAGCAAGAGGATTAGGCACGTTCAGCTCCAATTTAACAGAGTTACCAAGGCGGCGAACAGTGAGATAGAATGGTTAGGATTCCAGCTCATTCAATGTAATGTGGATCAAAGACTGCTGGAGAGATGGAGGCGTGCTTCAGGAACATGCAATTGAGGGAATGCTAGGAACTGGCAACATACACAGATTTATCACTTGGATGAATTTGAGCATTTCTCAGGGATGCTAAGATCCAGTCTTTAAAAAATGCCATACCAAATAGCGCAAGAGACACACTGACATGGGGAGAGTTAAAGTCTTTAATCTGGACCACGGAGCACCACATTCACTACTATAAAGAGCGAAAGGCAGGGTTCCTAGTCAGTTGTTGCGAGCAATGTCCTTATGCTGTGTATCCCACAGAAGAGCAACACATGGTCACAGCATCGTTCAAATAGACAGACTGCTATCTGGGGACCAACTGACTGCAGGGCTCAAGAGTTTTGGTTTGGGTGGAGTGGAAGGTGCAAAGAGGACATTGTCCACCTAATGAACACACACCTTGTAAAACATGTCACGTAGGTCATCCTTTGGGTTCACCCATGAAGCAACAGCATCACAGAAGAAAATGAAATCCTGCAAGAAACAAAATTATCATCAGTTTACAATTAGTTTGCAAACTATTTTCCCATAAGTGCAGTAAACATAATTACCTGGATGAGTGCAGTTGCAACACAAGAAGCTTGATGTCTTCCATGACAAAGCAGCACCCCGCCCACCTCCAACTTTATTCAATGTCCTTACCAACAACAGCATGCACTATTACCACGGTGTCTACAAAATGCACTTCAGTAGCTGACTAAGGCTTTCCCAACCCATAACCATAACCATCCAGAAGTACGTGGGCAACAGATGCATGGGAGCACCACCTGGTAGTTTCCCAAACTGAAACCATCCTAATTTGGAACTATAATCACTGTTCTATCATCATTCCCAAATCAAAATCCTGGAACTCTCTCCCTAACAATGAGGCTGTAACTACACATGGTTTAGTGATTCAAGGAAGCAGCTTACCATCACCTTCGAAAGTCAAATCATGGGCAGGCAATAAATATTGGCCCACACAGTGACACTGACATCGCATGCCAAAGGAAAAAATACAAAAGCCATCCACTGGTCCAACCAACGATCAGTCAGCTTGACACAAGGCAACTCAGCAGTGACCCAGGACAGTCTCTCAAATGGACAATGTAAAGAATATTTCCTTACCTGCACCACGCCACCTGGATTCACTCCAATCATCATACAGATCCCACGGAAGGCAGAATCTTTCTCTTCATTATCACGGATATTTCTCAGAGATGTGCACCTGGGAATTACAAAGCCATAGTAACCGTTAAATGCAGCAAAATCCAAATCTCCACTAGACTTGTGACTCATCAGGACCTGGGTTTCAGGAATGACTGGCTCTGGCAAAGCTTGTAAAAAGCAGAACAGCAGCGCACACACACAAGGTCAGAGCTCACACTTTCCCTCCAGACTGTAAATACAATGGTTACAAATGAAGATGGGAAGGAAAAAGGAAACATACACTCACCATGGTCTGATGAATTGCTGTAACATAGGTGCAACTTCCTGGGGACACACATAACCCAGACGGCCAATGGTAATAGCTGTGGGGAGGAGAGAGACAGAAAAATGAAAATGAAAATGAAATCAATGCAATTGCTACCATTGAGAGCTACCCCCAAAGCCAACATGCTCAGAATAGAAAAAAGTTCAACATTCTTTAGTTCAGGATTCAAATGTCTGCAATTTCTAGTCATCACAGCAGTGTGGCAAGACAGAACAGTAAACCATCCCAAAAGGCACTAGACTGACCTTCAATATTGAGTGAATCAACCCAATAGCAGAATAATTTCTAACAGACTATACAGTGCAGTGGCAGGAACATTTTCAGTTAGTTACCTATAAATGAGAAACGCACAGGGAACGAGTGGAATTTATAATTCCATGCCTGTCCCAAAACCCACATATCTCAAAGCCCTGTGCACCTGCCCAGAGTATTAGGAGACATAACAGATTTCAGCTGCTTCAGAATGTCCTCAGTATTGCTTTTTAGTCAGAGACTGGAATTAAATATCTGTCACGAGGCGAAGTATAGATAGTGAATATCTACATCATCTAGTGGTAACACTGCCTAGAATTTAAAGCGGGGCTATTTTCCAACCTGTCCTGCACTCAGACATCATTCCTTTGACATACAGCTCCTACACAGTTAGCAACTGTTTGACAGGGCTAAATCAGAAACAGTTTTTTGAAGTTAGGTAGTCACATGACTCCAAACAAAGCCAGCACAGAGCGCACTTCTATTTGTATCTTACCAGTGTTCTCAAGCAAAGTCTTAGGAGTGTTTGGTCTGTTAATGATTTCCACCAAGTTATTCAGAACCAGTGATACATATGGCTGCATCTCAGCACCTGTCAAGGCAGAAGATCAATATTTATTTTCCACTTGCACATTATTCCAGTAATTTCCCCACAGACAGGAAGACACCAAGATGCTTCACGTGAATATTATCAAACATGTCGTCTTCACCATTTCCAAAACGAAGTTTGATACCCATCCACAACAAGAAGGTGGTGGCGAGCTACCTCGAACTGCTGCAGCCCATGGGGTTCAAGGACCTCCGTGTTGCTAGGAAGGAAGTTCCAGTATTGTGTGTACGTTGTAAGAGACACCACACTACCATTGTGCAATGGAGGAAGGAGTGAATATGAAAATAGTGGACAGGGTACTAGTTAACAGACTGCTTTGCTCTGGATGGTGTCAAGCTTCTGGCATATTGTTGGAGCTGCACCCATCCAGGGACAGAGAGAGCATTCCAAAATACTCCTGACATATACCTTGCAGATGGTGGACAGGAAGTGAGCCACTCTGCAGTATCTCAAGCCTCCAAAAATTGCTCTTGTAAATCGTATTTATATAGTTGGTCCAGTTCAGTTACTGGTTACACCCTGGTAATCCCCAGAATATTCAGTTTTATTTAAGTTCAAATTTTAAGGGCAGTGGAAATGAATTCAAATCAACTATATAGTTCATCTGAAAGTTCCATTGTTCTCAAAACAAAATGTTGGGGAAACTCAGTAGGTAGCATCAATTAAGACTGAAACACAGCAGCTTTCTACAACATCTTCAATAGGTCAATTTTCAATTACTACTATTTCTCTCCCATAAATGATGTGTAAACTGCAGCTCAAAACTGCTGGGGAATTCTGGTTTTGGGTTCTCCTTGCATCAAGAAACACCTTATCTCACTGGAACAGAGATTAGACTTCATATCATGTCTCTAATTTGGTTAGACACTTTTTTTTAACCAACCTGCCCAAACAGATAGTTTTAATCAATCTGATAAACTTCTAGAGCAGGTAGAACACAGAATCCCTACAGTGTGGAAACAGGTGATTTGGCCCAACAAGTCCAACCCGCCCCTCCAAACAGCACCTACCCAGATCCATCCCCTACCCATCCCTGTAACCTTGCACGTCCCATGTCTAATCAACTTAACTTAGACACCCCTGGACACTACAGGCAATTTTTCATGGCCAATGCACCTAACATGCACACCTTTGGATTGTGGGAGGAAGCCTACACAGACACAGGGAGAACATGCAAACTCCACACAGAGACATGAACCCAAGCCTTCTAAGCCCAGAGGTAGGGACACTACCACTGCACCACAAGTGCTCCTCAAAGTAGATCATATTATAAAATAGATTCAGCCAATACTTCACACTTCATGAAAAGCAAGAACTTACCCATCTGCATGCAAATCTCCCCAATCGCCCAGGTGGCATTATTGCACACAGAAATAAATTCCGGGTTCAGGTTGGTTCCCAAGATTGGCATGAACTCAGCTAAGGTGAAGACAAAAGGAAGAAATCAGGGTCTCAAATTAAGCAGATTCACATCATTTCACCAACAGGATAATGGTTCACTTGACCCTACTTTCTAAAGGTGCATTACCTTCCCCACGACACAGGTCATTCTGAATCCAGGTGGGAGGCTCCAGTTTTTAAAAGAGGACAGTTGGTACAGGAGCAGTTTAAGAAATGCCAATGGCAAAGGAAACAGTGGGGTAGCTGCCAACCAGAGGCTGCACATCCATCATTCAGGGAGGGATGGTAACTCCGTCGGTCCGTCATCGCAGAAAAAGCACAGCAAGAGAACATGAAAGGACTTGTGGAGCAGACAGTACAAATATTTGAGCCACATTTTAGGAATGTGTAACCTTTCATTTCCAGAGCATCAAAATTACCGCCAACACTCAGGAGTTTCCCCCAACATTCATCCCCTAACCCCATGCCAGTTGCAGGAGGGAAGTAGCAGGACCTAACAGACAGTAAGAAACCAGCTCTGCACAAGAAGTCAGAGACACCCTGGCTATGTAATACCAAAGCACTCACCTATACACTGCTTGACATGCTGGAAACAAGCTTTGGTGAGATCTCCCAGAAGTGCAAACGAGCTCTGCCGAACCTCAGGCATTGTATCCTACAGGGAGGGAAACCCCAAATACAATTATCAAAACATCACACCAACATACAGTCAACACAACCCGCTGCCTCATGCAACAAGCCCAACTTCCCATAACATCAGGCGTCTCCTTCTGCTGCCTAATATCAAATTAACTGGGGAGTGAGCAACCAGGCCATGAGCACACAGTCCACAGGATCACTGTTCGGAACAGGTTAGAGGAAACCTGGAGCTGCTGTCGAATAATGACCCGTTTGGTTCTCAGCAGCAGGGCCTGGATCAGATTATGGTATTACCCAGTGATCTATTCACCCCCGTGCTGGTTCACAGCCACAACAGCAGTTCTACTCAATGCTCACTGAGAAACAGTAGAAGCACATTGACCTCTGGCAATGATTCAAGCACCAATTAAACACAATCAGCTGCATACCAACGGAGGTGCTCCCTTGCAGACAAGATGCTAAATCAAGACCCCTTCTATCCTGTCATGCAGTTGTAAGAAGATTCCATAAGTTAACGGAATGGGCGAAATCTCCTGACATCTGGGAGACAATTTACCCCCGACACTGCTCAAACAAGACAGAGTTGAGGCATGTATTGATGCCTTCAAGCTTCAATCTCATCCATGCTACAGTAGCACTGCTACATTCTCATGTACACAGGGAAGAATGGTTTTAAAGGGGGTAACCGCAATACATTCAGGAGAATGTTTGTTTAGCAAGGCTTTCTATTCACACTAGAGATTCTTCACAATGGATTCACTGTACACCAAAGACTAACAAGTCCTTTCTTCACGTTCCCTCTTCATTCACCTGCATACACTGGAAGAGAAGGGTCATGATATTGCTTCGAGCCACTAGCTGCTCCACGTGACCACCCAAACCCTCTGCCAAGCCACTTAGCAAGTCCAGAGCTACAATCATGAAGTCCTTGTCTGGAGCCTCGTACTGGTCTGGTTGCGTGTTGTACATCTGGAAACATCCAGATTAAAAAGGTTAATCAGTGAGATACAATGCTACAAAAGAGTCTTGTCATTTACATAACAGAGCATAGATGGTACATAACAATTACTGTGCCCACATAAAACCAGTCTACTGTATAACTCCAACAGGTGTCAGCATTTGACATTCCTACACAAGTTACTGTCACAGCTAACCTCCCAATGCCTCCTGTTTACAGTAAGCAAAGGAGCTAATCTGTTACAGCACCACATGAGAGAATTCAGTTTGATTCACATGTTTCTGGTCCCACCCATTCAGCAGACTCAGCTAATGAGTTACTCAGTATGGCCAAAAGATCGATACCAACAAACATCATTTTCCAACCCATCACCCCACATCTTTTCAAGTCTCCTACAGACCAAAAAAACCCAAAGTCTGAGGAGGAGACCAAAGAGCTTGGAGCCCAGGTCATTCTAATTCACCCAAAGTTCCCAAACTTCACAAGAGTATGTTTTCCAGATTCAAACTCCAGTTAAAAGGAAAAAGAACTTACCATGGCCTGGGCAAGTGTCTTCTGCACAAGTGTTACACAGCGCTGATAGACAGGCTCACAGTACGGGAGGAAGCCGCTCTGCAGTGCAGTGGCCACTGATGAGAGGCACTAAGGAAGAAGGAATAATGAATACCAACACCACGAAGGAGGTACAGCATGTCAGGAACAATAGTAAAAGGTCAGCAAGGAAACTATAACATCAAACATCAGACAGGCTACATTAGGGTCACATACTGGAATCAGACATTACAAGGAAATATGGGAGCCTCAACTAAGAGCAGAAACCATCAGAGCAACCTGAAATATTGACAAATAGCTTCTAGTGAACTACTACGACCCAAACGTCAGAGTGCTCTCACCTCTTGGACAGACGCCTGTGGAAGACAATGCCAAGGGCACCAGAGAGTGTATGTTGGCCCTCGTGGAGCAACTCCATACACTGAGAAGTGATTCTGGACAGAAATAAGCAGTAATCCCAGTTACTGCCCATTTCCAAGCTCACAGACACACCAGTGCAGAGATCAGCACAGACCCAGGATTTACAAGCACTTTCTGGCCAGTGGGGCTCAATAACAAACATAGCTATTCGGGAGCACAAACCGCACTAACATTTATTCCAAGTAGGTTGAGTGAGTCCATGGGAAGCTTAGTCAGCAGGACACAGGTGGTGGTCGGCAAATATTTTAAACAAAATGTTAGGACCCAGACTACCCAACCAGAATCCCTACTTTACAAAACCAGAGGGATAAGTTTCCAATAAAACTGAATTTGAGAGATTAGGGAGCAAGAGTAAAAGACAGGAATTAGTTGGAGAGCTCCTCCAAAGAAGGAAAGGTCACAGCTTCCTTCCATGCGGTAACCTCTGACTCTATGAACTGAAATACACGGGTTAGTGGGTGCAGGAATGGAAACAGAATAAAACCACAGCTCTGCCACTTTCTGTGGCAGAGATTTCCACAGCCTCACCACACTCTGGGAGAAGAAATTTCTCATCAGTCCTAATTGGCCTACCTCATGCCCTTAAACTGTGATCCCTGGTTCTGAACTCTCCAATCAATGGGAACATGTTCCCTGCATTTACTCTTAGAATTTTAACAGGTTTTTAGGCAATCCCCATTCATTCTTGTGAACCCCACTGAATACAGCCCTAACTGATCCATTGTCTCTTCATGCATCAGCCCTGCCATCCCAGGAATCAGTATGGTAAATCTTTGTTGCACTGCCTTCATAGCCAGAACATTCTTCCTTAGATAAGGAGATCAAAACTGCACACAACATTCCTAGTGTCACCTTCACAAACAGTAGTCTCTGGGGTACCAGAGAGTCTGACAGACACTCACCTCCAGCAGAGGAAAGAGATCCTTATCTTCATCCTTCAACTCATTCCATTTCTGAATGAGGGGAGGCATTAGTTTCTGGATGTATTCCTGAGAGTGCAGAGTGAACATTGTGCCATTAATGCTTGTACTGGCAACAGAACCAAGATATCTGAGCCTCTCCAATTCAGTAAAAACAGCACATTAATTACATACAGAAACCCAGTCGCGCAACACTGCCAACCACGTGCAGAATCCCAGCCTTTATAGATCACTTTTCACTCTTGCTGGCACACACACACACCCTCCAACCCCCCGCCCCCTACCCCCAACCCCATAAATCCAAATAAAACCATTGTTTGAATTCTGCTTTGGCCTTAGTTCCCCAGCGTGGAGTTTGAAATCTATGCACTGCACTTTGACCTCCACCATCTGACCCCCATCCCTTAATAAAATTCAGAGCTACTGCCTACTGGCTGATTGAGGTGATGTCCCACAGAGTCAGCCAATGTACCAATGGCATCGTACAGAATCAGCAGGTTCTTGTGCTGGTATTTCCCAAATGCAAAGACCAGCGTGTCAAGGATGTAGCTGAGATATGGGACCAGTTCAGTGCAGGCTTCCTCCTCTAACGTAGCAAACGCACTGCAGGGAGAAAAGGGAGAGTCAGGGTCACAAACAGCAGTCAGTAAGGCCAGACTGAAGGCATTTACAGGCACTCAAAACAGGAAAAGGAAAGCTGCTCCATGGTTGAAATCAGGTTCAAATGATAGTGTACCCCTCCCTCAGCTTCTAATAACCTTAGGGCTCTCCCCTCCACCACCCACCAGGGGTTACCCACTGCAGGCATCTCACACTGTAGTTTCCAGATGAAGTGAATATACAAATCATGCAGTGAAATCATTCATCACCAAGTCATGAACCCTGCAAAGTTGAGATTGAGAGATGTGCCCACAACCCAACCTTGCTGGTTCACCCTACTAGACCTCAGGCCAAATCTGGCCCATATACAAAACTATACAGTAACCAGGGCTCTTCAGTCTTCTTGCCCAAAAAGACACTGCAAATGTAGAACACAACATCTGGCACAGTTAAACAACCATGCTTCAGTCAGAACAGCCTTAAGGCACTCATGATCGTCACCAGGGTACAGTCACTCTCCAGCACCTCAGCAGCCAGACTACTCTGGCAGTGATCAGTCAGCTGATGCTCATACTTAGAAGAATCAGCAGATAACCAGTGGTGGATCCTTTGCTGCTCTGCCCCACTGCACAGGGAATGGTCCCTTTCTGTTCACTGTTTCAGTAGCAGGCTCTGTCCCTCCTGGTCAGGCAGCTATCAGCAGGACTGAGAACATCTTTACAGAGGTCTAGATGACCAATGGCTCTATACTATGTGTTGAGGAAGCAAGTTGGCTCAGCTCACCTGCACGCAGCCTCTTGCACTTTCTTGTTTCCGTCCAGGATTCTCTTCAGAAGTTCAGTCATCAGTGGTTTGAGATACTGGTCTGGTGGCTGGCTGACCACCCAATGCGCATAGCGACTGAGTGTCCAGCAGGCAATTGAGCGCACTAGTGCCTTCTTATCTGGCAGACACTGTATAAGGTGTGGGATCAACTCGGGGAGATAAGGGACCATCCCCTGCATACAACCTAGGGACAGAAAGGAAGCAGGATTACTAACAAGCCAACACAGAGGATGAGGGAGGTCCCTTTCCATAAGAACATTAGTAGTAGGAAACAGGAGCAGGTTGTTTGGTCTCTTGAGCCTGTTCGACCATTCAACAGAATCATGGCTGCTCCGACACTCATGTCCACTTGCCTCATAACCCTGAACTCCTCTATTGATCAAGAATCTATCCTCAGCCTTGGATATACACAAGGACTCTGCCTCCACAGCTCTCTTTGGCAGGGAGATGAAAATACTCTCAACTGTCCAAAGAAATTCCTCCTCATCTCAGTCTTAAATTGGAACCTTTTATTCTTATACTATGGTGTCTGGTCCTAGACTTTCCCAAATCCTCTCAATATTTACCCTGTCAAGCTCCTTAATAATCCTACTTGTTTCAATGAGTTCATCTTACATACTTCTGAACTCCAGTGAGTAGAGTTCCAACCTGCCTTTGCTTATATGACAAGGCCTCCACGCCAGGGATCATCCTAGTGACCTTCACTGAACTGCCTCCAATGAAATAATATCTTTCTACAAATAAGGGGACCAAAACTGCTCACCGATGTTGTCTCACCAGCCCCTTGCGCAGTTCCCTACTCTCCACATTTTGTCATTAATAACAGACTCTATGATGTTGGAGTAGCCAGAAATGGCTAGAGGGATGGGTGCAAGTTGATAACCAGTATGGGGTACATTGGACACTGTTTGTAGAGTGATATCAGGACTAGACCAGATTAAAATTAAAACGTTTGCGGCCTGTTTGGATTCCTGGACTGAAACAGGTCCTACACAGAACTAAAAGCTGTACATTTGGACCATTGGGGGAGAAAGTTGTTGAGCCTGGGTCCAACAGCAGCAGGCTTTTTTTTCTTTATTCATTCGTGGGATGAGGGTGTCGCTGGCCAGGCAGCATTTATTACCCATCCCTAATTGCCCAGGGGCAGTTAAGAGTCAACCACATTGCTGTGGGGCTGGAGTCACATGTAGGCCAGACCAGGCAAGGATGGCAGTTTCCTTCCCTAAAGGACATTAGTGAACCAGATGGGCTTTTCCGACAATTAACAATGGATTCATGGTCACCATTAGACTGTTAATTCCAGATATTTATTGAATTCAAATTCCACCATCTGCCATGGCGAGATTTGAACCCAGGTCCCCAGAACATTATCTGGGTCTCTGGATTAACAGTGCAGCGATAATACCACTAGGCCATTGTCATGTCAAGGGGAGGCAAAGTGTTATATGGCAGCACAAGGGCAATATGGAAGCAGCTGTCCAGAATGTAGGCACCCGATAGATTTGTATATTTCAGATAGTACGCCCCGAGAGAACTGTTCTCGCCCACAGTACAGCTTGGCTCCACTTGCCATCACTCAACTCCTCCCTCATACCTTCTGCAATTGCTCCCAGAACCAGGATCCCAGATTCTTTAATAACCCAATCTGGATGGAACAGCAACCCTTTCAGTAGCGGCAGGAGGTGAGGCAGAAGATCGTCCCGGAAAACATTAGCCAAGACATCCAGTGCAGCAGCCGAACATTTTCCTGTTAGGAAGACAGCAAAAAGAGTGGTGTTCACCTGATACGCAGCAGTTTACACACAGTGGTACATAACCAGCCCCGATTAGATGCAACCAACCAGAGCCACCCACAAGGTCAAACTACTTCATTGTCTACACTACTTCAAACAATACAGCAGGAGAACCCAAACAAGATGGCAGACTGGCCTTGAGCAAGTAATTTCAGACACACTGGCGGGGTCCCTCAGAAGAACCCATTCCCTTATCGATTCATGACTTGTACTGCAGCTGGTTATTGGGTTTAGAAACTTGCACAAATCCAAGGCTCTTTGCAGCTTTCTAGTTGAACTGCCTTTTCCCATTGACCTTTCTGCTTCTACAGGTGCTGTATGATTACAGGTCTCCAAAATGTCCCAAATCAGCCTGTTGGCCCAGTTCATTCAGTGACATTACAGGAGATGTGAGTGTGACTTCACCTGCCTGGCCTATCCAGCAGATGGGTCAAGAGGAAGGCATGCCAACTTGAGTGGGTACATCAGCAAGGATCAGGGACCTACACGGTCATTACAGCTTGGAGCTCTTGATACTTTGCCCAATAGGAAGGAAATCATCCTGCACAAACATACTCAGGTTCCAGTCGGAGAGCGTGTCATCATCATCGTCATCAAAATCCTCATCTTCCTCAGCAGCATCCTCTTCGTGCTGGAGTGTAACTGTGCGGGACTTATGAAAACGGGGTTTGATGTCCTGCTCACTATCTGGAACTGCTTCATCCTCTTCTACATCACCCTTTGTACACAACCACGAAGGAAAGAACAGGACCAATCAATAAATCAAACAAAATTCAGAGGGTGCTGTACAGACTTGGAATTCTATAAACGCAAGTCAAGGTTCTGCAGGAATCTCATACAATTAGCTTCAACCCATTCCTTACAAGCTCTGTGACTGGGTTTAGAATTGAAAAGGAGACAAACTATCCCACTGGCCAATCATCAGCTCCAACACAATTCAGAATTACTTTAACAGTTAACTGTTCCTACCTTTAGAAGTATGATGTCAATCTCAGAATATTTCATTCCATTCACTAAGATAGGAATCAATCTAAAAGTCAAAAATAAATTGTTCATTAACGAAAGAACACTTTACAAAGCATCACACAAAGATGCAGTATACTATCTGGTGATGAGCCACCTCATTCACAAGGTGAATCTCACTTCCTGCTGATATGGTACCACAAAATCTGTTTCACCTTGTCCACAACAGTAGAAGTAGACATTTCTTGTACAAAAAGAGAGCCTCAATACAGTAGCCAAACTATGAATCTGTGTAGCAGACTCCACGGATACAGTGGAGGCACTTTACACAAAATTAGATTTTCTGAAATAAATTACATTCTGTAGCATACAGTTGAAATCTGTTAGCACAATCAGCAGAAAGAACTTGAGGGGAACTGGAATTTGAATGGAGTCTTCCTCAATGCTCCTGGGTGTTTTCAACTCATTGATGGATATTCATCACCAATTAGTCAATAACTCCATCACTCTGCGGCTCAGGTAACTGGAGGGAAACTGGGTAGACTGTGGTATCTGTCTAACACTTGCTGTGCTCCGAAGGCAGTCCAAGCCCTCACTACGATCAATTCCAGTGGCTGGTCCTTACTGTATTAGGTGTCCTGACAATGCCTCCTTACAGATTGGTTGTTCAGCCAATGTCAACCAGAACTCGCATGCTTCTAATGCCACGTTTTCATCAGCGTCTTGCGTCCTCTGCAGCATATACTGAGTGTATGAGGAGATAAAACAGCAGGGAGTTAGAGAATTCCTCAGCGCGAGGGGCAAAAAGTCCACCCATTACTTTGAAACTATCCAGCAGCCCTACGCCATGTCCCAGGGCCTTTCAGAGAGCCAAGAGCCCCAACATCTACAGCAACCCAGAAAGTTAATTAACCTGCCTCCACCTCCCTCAGAAATGCTCCTGCAGCCAGTTTGGAATTGGAGCATACTCCAAAGTTGCCACCAGTGAGCAACTCGGATGGGTGGGGCTGTAGACCAAAATGGTTCAAGTCCACAAACAGTGACTACACACAGTATACCCTTCTGCATGGGGGAGGGAAATCCCATCCATACCTGACTGTGACCCCACCTGCAGGATATTCTAGACAGATATTGAAGGATGAAGCAAAATATTATAGATGTTGGAAATCAAACAAATAAATTGCTGGCTAGAGCTGGATGAAGGGCATGTATCCTAGCCTTAATTCAGGACAGACATCACACCGAGACACTGCTGCATTGTGTGGATACAACACCAGAAGAGAGTTCTGTTCTATCTAAGGTGCTTTCTTTGTGAAAAGTCTCAGTGCATCGGATATGTAACAACAACTAGGTTTTTCTGGCATCTTGGCCAATGCTTTTCTATTAAATAACACCATAAACACAGGCTGGCAGTCTCCTCATTTAAGGATTACATGTGCTCCAACAGGGACGACGCTTCTAAATAGCTTATTGATGCAGCATACTTAAAGTGTGGAAGTCAGCTAGACTTCTGGTTTACAAGGCAGGGTGATTCCACATGGGCTGAGGTTATCATAAAGGAACCCCCTTCTCAAACTCTTCTCTTGCCTGAGCTCTTAGGTTAAAATCAGGTCTCTCAGAAAGCAGCCCTATGGTCTGATAAGACTATAGCAACTTTATTTTTATCATACTGTACACTCAGTCAGACATGTACCGTTACATACCTGAACCGTCACAGTATACACAATACACACATACCTGGATTATACTGTGCATGTGTGGGATAAGACGATCTATCCGAACCTCTAGCAGCATCACCAGTGCCCGACACACATTCTTCCTCACCTCAGAATCGTCATCTGTCGCCAGTGCAAAGAGATGCTGCAGAAGGCAAGCAGGACGTTGAGTTTGGGCACTGCCTAATGAAGAGATTTCTATTCGAGGGATTTGTCACTGTTACTAGTCACTCCCAATGGCTGGCTAGCACTGGTTTCAGTTTAAGGTTCCCTTATATCCAATGAACTCACCCAGGCAGTTCACGTCAAAGTTCAGCAAGGACACTAACACAATTGACCTCTACACAAAGACAGGACCGTCTCTATGTATCAACGTGTTTCCCCAGTGTAGTCACCATTCCCAACAGTGATAATGTCATTGGATTAGTAACCCAAGGTCCCAGATGAACAGTGAAATTCAAACTCAATAAAATCTGAAATTAAAGCTGGTCTAACAGCAACCATGAGACCAATCTGGTTTAATAATGTTCTGTGGGAAAGAAATCCACCATCCTTACCTGGTCTGACCTACACGTGACTACAAACGTAGAGCAATGTGGTAACTCCTATCCCCCCTCTTAAATGGCGAGCAATCGTCCCAAATTCAAGAGTAATTAGGAACAGGTACTAAATGTGACCCTGCCAGCATCACCCACATCTCAAATTATTAAAAATAATCACAGGTCCTTCCATCACACTGAGAACTGAAAGCCAAAGAGACAGCTGTGATGCACATGCACCTTCTTTTAACATTCAATTAAAATAATTGAATTTTGACCCCAGTAAAATGTACCTTCCTTTTAATGACAGCAATGTCTGGAATAAATTTGCTGAAAGTAAACTCTTGCTACATCCTAATATTGCACAGTTCTCTCAGTCCGGTCATCAGATTACACCATTTTGGTCTGACCACACTACAGCAGCATATTGACCAAACAGATTTCCTTCTGATTCTAAGCTGAGTGCCCGAAGACACTTTGTCAGAAAGCAATACCACCACTCAACCACTCAATAGGGTCTTTCAGACTGACATAAAAAAATCTCAGGTACAATCGTCTCAGAGAACAAAGTCTGCACTTTGAGGTCCCACTATACATGCCATTGGGCATAGGGAGAGTCAGCTCTATTCATACATACTTCTTAGTTGGATGCTTTTGATAGCAACCATGAGCAAGATCCCAACTGTCTCGAAATCAGGGGCTGCCATTTCTGCACATGCTAGAAGGAGAAATGCGAGTACATATAATTGATTGAGACAATGATTCATTATCTATTACACAAATATCATACCTCAATGAAGGTATCGACATTGTCCATCAGTGCCTGAGCCCTTCCGATGATGAACTGATTCACACAAGCGATTGCATGGGACCTGAGAGAAAAAGAGGTAGGCATTTGAGTCGTGACCCCCTGCTGCTCCAGGTCATTTCCCCCTTTGTCACAGTTCAGCAACAGGATGCAACAAACTCCTACCTGATTTTAGGACTACAGTGTTTGAAAAACTGCAGGAACTTGGGAATCATGATGTTGAGGGGTCTGTTCAGGGCATCACTATCCAGCATCTCTGATGAATCCTCACAAATCTTCTGCAAAGCTCCAAAGGCTCCCTCACATGTATTATAGTCCTCAGAATTGAGTAGGTTACAGAGTTGAGGCAGGAGCTCTGGCCAAGCTTGGAGCTCTCCCTTTGAAGCAATGGTAGTAATCAAAATACCTGCAGAAACCAGACTATAAAGGTCAGGCATTTTAACAGATCAATGATTCTGGCAAGGATCATACACACTATAGACCCGAGTGTGTGGAAGGCAGGTGGGGGAAGAGAAACAATTGCTGATCAGAGCACTTAAACCCACAACTATATTCCAGATCACTGATAGCTTATTATGAACCCCAAAACATGACTGAACTAAAAGAAAACATTTGGACTCCAGACATGGGCAGAATTACAACATGCAACCAACTGCATCAAAATTCCAATGCTTCAACAGGGACATGCAATGATTAAAGCATCACTCAGATATCTACATCTTATTCTCCTGTAGCTCTCCATTGGGAGTCCATTAGAACCAAGACTCTGTAGCAGATTACAGCCCTCAAGTTTGAAGATTGTACAGATGGAATTGGTGCGACAGGGCAAGTACATTGTTGTAAAAGCTTTCACAAGGCAAAAGTACAGCCCATGACTTTTGAACCAATTACCGAACTTTAGAATTAAACTTAATCCTACAACATTCCGATTGCATGAGGACACAGACCCTGAAAATATATTGCCAGGCACTCTTTTTGGGGCAAAGGTGGGTCTACAAGTCTTGTGCCTCACTAATTGGAAACAAATTAAAATTGGAGCAAGTGCTAAAATTTGAACAACGTCAGAAGGTTTTCAACTGCTTGATGAACCATCGATCATTCACAGGAAGAAAGCGCTGTGCAAGATAAGAAGGAACTTTGCTGATGGTTACAACTGTTATGCTGTCATTTACTGGGAAGTTCTCAATTCAACTACAAGCTCTACTCTAGTTAAGAATGCAACTTAACCAAGTTTATTAATAAAGTAAAAGCTTACTGCATAATTCCTGCTTACACAGTTACTGTTTGCACAGTTCATGTTGCATATACCAAAAGGGATCACGCAAGTGCAAGCACCAGCATATGCAAACATTCATCTGATGTTTGATAGACATGTCAAGTCAGACTTAGTTTCAACAAGACTTCGCATTTTGAGATAGTATAAAATAAGTTTAAATTGTAGATCTTGCACCTACTTTTAACAGAATGATAAGCTCAAATAACAAAAACAGAAATCAAATAATGCCATTGCTCATTTCAGAAGTTTTGAATTGGATATTAAGCTGCCAGAGCTTTCTACGGTTGACTTGAAAGCTGCTAAGTACTTGCAAGAAACATTATTCATATTGTAGGCTGGATTTGCTTTCCATTAATTCAAGAAATGCTTCAACATCAAGGTGTTAATTTTACTTGAACATAGTGCACTTCAACAAGCAGAAGTCAGTTATTTCTGACTGAAATACATGAATAAATGTGTTAAAAATTGGCAAGTTTCAAAACCAGCATTAAATTGGATAATGGTTACCGCGCTTCAACAAGTGATCCTGTGAGCTTTAGATCACTTATGACTGCACTGGTTTCTATTAGTCCAAGTGTTCCATGCCAGGCTTTGAACCCAAGTTGCAAACTAAACTTTTGAGAGGGCATAACCTGCCAATTCAAAGAGTCACTTTTCCCCTTCAAATATAAAGAAGTAGGCCACTTGGCACTTCAAGCCTGCTCTGCCATTCAGTAAGTTCACAGGTGATCCGAGTATCTGACTTTAACTTCAACCCTACATTTCTAAGGACTTCCCCCCTGTAGCCCTGATAATATAAAATCTATCTGCTGCAGGTACAGTGTCCAGTGCTCCAGCCCTGTATAACTGAAGCGTACCCTTGTATTCACTCCCCTTACAAAACAAAACTATTAGCTTTCCCAATTGTTTGCTGTACCTCTTGCAACTCATGCATTAGAGCTCTAAGATCTTTGCAGGCCTCTTACCATTTACAGGGCTTTTATTTTTGCAATATATACAATTTCAAGTTGTTTCACATTATGTCATTTGCCAGATCTTTGCCCACTCAAACTATCTATCCCCTTGTAGGGTCCTCGTGTCTGCTTCAAAACTCACTTCCCAGTCTGTGTGTCACCTGCAAATTTAGCTACTGTAGCTCTGGTCTTTTCAAAATAATTCATATGAATTATTCTGAAAAGAGTTGAGGACCCAGGACTGATCCACCACTCATGAAATCCTGTCAGACAGGAAAAGATCTATTTATCCGTTCTCTGGTGTTAGCGAGCCAATCTTCTATCCACACCAATATGTTACTCCCTACACTACGAGCTCTTAATTTACGCAATAACTTTTGTGGTACTTTACCAAATGCCACAATAAGTACAATACATCCACTGATTCACCTTTACCATTACGCAAGTAACTTGCTCAAATAACTCCAATAAGTTAGTTAAACAAGATTTCCCTCCGATGAAACCATACTGGCTCTGCCTTAAACTTATCGAAGCAACCTGTAATAGCATCTTTAATAAAAGCCTCCAATATTTTCCCTTTGACAGAACTTTAGCTAACGTGGCGTGCTGTTTCTTTTCTGCTTCCCTTTTTTTGAATGAGTTTTATTAATTTTCTAAACTAAAAGGACTTTCCTGTATGTAACAAGTTTCTGAAAGTTAAAACCAACTCAACTATCTCACTAGCTAATTAAAACAAAGAACTGCAGATACAAGAGATCTAAAACAACAAAAAAAAATAACTGGGGAAAATCAGGTCTGGCAGCATCTATCAAGTAAAAAAAACAGTTAACATTCAGTGTCCAGTGACCCTTTTTCAGAACCCGCAACTTACTCACTACTTCTTTTAAGGCAATAGAACGAAACCCATCAGGATCCAGGAACTTGTCAACTCCCTGTTCCAACATTTTACTCAGTAATTGCAATTTTCCCATTGTCCACCCTCCCTTTCAATCCCTATTTATTGTCAGAATCATAGAATCCCTACAGTGTGGAAACAGGCCATTCGGCCCATTAAGTCCACACTGACCCTCCGAAGAGCATCTCATCCAGACCCCTTACCTATCCCTATAACCCTGCATTTCCTATGACTAATCCACCTAACCTGCATATCTTTGGACTGTGGAAGGAAACCAGAGCACCGAGAGGAAACCCACACAGACACAGGGAGAATGTGCAAACTCCACACAGTCACCCTAGGTGGAATCAAAGCCAGGTCCCTGGCACTTTGAGGCAGCAGTGCTGACCACTGAGCCACAGTACCACATCTTTGCTGGTAAACCCACATCTGCCATCTCTTTCTTTGTTCGTGTTTTCTTTAACATGCTTGAAGAAACTTTTCCTGTCTGCTTTTATACTTTTGACTAACTTACTCACTATTTTTCCATATTCTGTCCAATCTTTTGGTTTGCCACTCATCTTTGCACACTTATATGACTTTTCTTTGAATTTGATACAGACTTCAGCTAGCCATGGATAGTGGGTCCAAGCCTTAGAAGTTCTGTTATTTGTTGGAATGTCTCTACTATGCACTTTCTGGAATATTCCCTGCACATGCCACTGTGTTGCTACTGACCAATTCCTCAACCCAAATTGCTGGATCATGTTCACGCCCTCATTTAAATTAAAAACTGGTCTTGCACAAAAGTGGGAGTGGACCAGGCAGACACACCATGCCCTCCAACAGGATGGCCTTCAACCACATTCATGCAGAGTCACTGAAAATATTGCAAAGAGGCCACTGCCAGAACACTAACAAAGGATTTCTCATTTGACTATACAGATTGTGGGGTTAAGCAGGATTTTCAGTTAACTCCTGACAGAACAGCAGATCCCTCAAAGCAGCGATTCAGAGAAACCAGTATCTGGTTAGTTCAGTTACCTATGGTTGCTCTGATGAGTGGAGAGGCATCTCCAATATTATTCAAACACTCCTGCTTGATAAAGTCAGCAACCCCCTGTGGGAAACTCTGGTAGTGAGCCTTGACATTGTTCTTGAGAATGAGGCCACTGAGGGACCGTGTAGGTTCATCTAAAGATGGAGAAACAACATGATGTTACTGGAATGATCCCACATCGTAAATACCAGCATGACAAGTGGCACATTCAGGGTGCCTTAACTAGCACGTTACATCGGGTACAGTCATAGCAATAGGCCTTTTGTCCCATCCAGTCAACAGTGAGCCTTTGGAAACACCAACAGGTGGTAATGTCATGAGGGAGCACACCTTACTGTATAAAAAATTACAGCTGGCAGGCAGCATCCACCTTGCATGATGCCACACCTCATGTGGATGAACCAGTGTTCCACCAGGAGGTTGGCAAAGTGGAAACGTACATGTCTTTTCAAACAAAATAGGGAACTGAAATGAACGGCACCTTCAGATTTCAGTCTGGTCAGGACAAAGATCAGGTAGTTGTTGAAGTCTGGATACTGATTCAGCTGCTCCAATTTCTGGAAATGAAGTTTAGGATAATAAAGCAACGTAATACTAAAATTCTCACCCGACAAACTAAAGAGGTGATAACAAACAAAAGCAACCAAACTCAATCATTATCCACTCCCTGCACTACAGTAGACAGGGGATAGCGAGCAAGACAAAAAACATACAGCTACAAATAACTGACCCTAGAGGCAAATTCTGAATGGGGAATATTGCCCACATATTCTTGTGGCACTAGAGTAGATTTCTCTTCTCTCCCCTCCACTCCGCCTCCCCCCAGCCCCTCATTCTTCCAAGGGATGTTGGGGTTGCTGGCATTTATGATCCATCTTTATATTTCAGATGGACTTCATCTTCCAGATTTATTTGGATTTAAGTCCCACCAGCTGCTGAAATAGAATTTAGACCCATGTCCACAGAGCATTAGCCTGAGCCTCTGGATTACTAGTTTACCCTAGGAGCAATATCCTGGGAATTACCATTACCAGAAAATGAACTGGACCAGGCATATCAAAACTGAGGCTGCAAGAACAGGTCAGGGGCTGCGTGAGTGACTCCCCAAAGCCTGCCCACCATCTTCAATGAAACGAGCAGGATACTCTCTAGTGACCTGGATGGTTGCAGTTCCAACAACACAAACTCAGGATCATCAGGACAAAAGCGCCCAATTCGTGGTTGAACACCAAATAATCAACATCCAATGCCTCCACTAAAAATGTATAATGTGCATCAAGTATTAGACAGTAATTTCCCCAATGATTATTCAACTTCATCTGTCAAATTTTTAACTATCATTGAGAAGGTCAAAGATAGCATGACCAAAAGTGGAGGTGAAAGCAAGTGAAAATTAGGACTATACAGATAGCTGAGCAGTTTGAATCTTCGAATAGACAGGATACTTGTTGCACTGCACGCTGTGTTGCAGTGTCTGGTGACTGAGAGTCTTTGAGCAGCTGAAGAACTTGCTGAAGACCCTGCTCATCGGGCTGCCACTCCATCACGAATAATCCTGCAAAGACAAGGAAGTTACTGAGAGACGGTCACAAGAAATGAGGATGGGCTAATTCACCTCACCAGGTCAGCCACAATGTAGACACCTCACCTACACTTTCACCTTTTGCAACAGTCACACCACCATCCCTGTATTATGCCACCCCGCCTGCATTCCCCTTCTCCTCCCCCTGAATGCCTCATTCTGATCTGAAACAGCAGCACTATCAGCACAACAGATCCCTACAAAAGGATGAGTGTTCACTGTTGCACTGAGTGGGATTAGATTGAGCAGCCTCAATTAATATTGAGAAACTCCAGCCATTTTGACCCAACAATCCTTAGCAATGCCTTCCACATCAGTGCTGTCAAAAACATGGACATCATGAATGCTCCACGATCCTTCATCAAGCACCAGAATGTCTGTTCGTTAGCAAGGTTTGGTCAACACCAGCACACTGTCAGGAAATGCTGAGCGCGAGTTCTCAAAGCCCAAGAATGTGGTCATTTGAAGCACAAACAGCCACAAATGCCCAGACCCACAGCACAATATTGGTCAGGAGATACCAGCCATTACAATAGAGTCCTGAGAAGAAGGATCAGACAGACTGAACCCAGGGATTTCATGTCTAATGTAACAAGGTTTGATCCCCACGAGGTAAATACCTTACCTCAGAGACAGAGAGCCCCAGGAATAGGGTTTAACTACAGATAAAGCGTGTTCAACCATTCTAACAAACCGCCCCTCTCCCCCATAAACACACACAAACACCCTCCACCTCTCACCACCAGCGGCCGATCCAAGGATGGAGGCCTCGGCCTGGGGCCTGTACTCGGGCTCCGTCACCGCGGCTGGAACCGGGCCGGGCCAGGCCAGAGCACAGGCCGCAGCCTCGGGCTGGCGGAGGAGCTGAACCCCATTCCCCGAGCCGGCGGAGGAGCTGAACCCCATTCCCCGAGCCTCGGGCTCTTCTCCTCCTGCCTCCCCAGCGCCGCTCGCTCACTCACCAGCCGCAGGCCAAAGCCCCGGCGTCCTCGGGCGGTCCCTCCCCACAATGGGCTCCTCACGGCCGCCGCCGCTGCCTTTACTCCGCCCCCTTCCCCCTGTCCCCGCCCAGAGCCCGCCAGACCCACCC